CCCTGGGACTGGCTCTTCATCCTGAGCCGTTTCTTGACTGCCCCGAAGCCCCGGAAGGGCCCCAGGAGGCCGAACACAGCGAAACAGCTCCTGTGATTATGATGCGTTTTAGCGCAATGGCAAAAAGAGGCCCTTAGAGGTCAAACGGCGGCGAGTGGCGGCGAGTGGTGCGTATGCACACGTCACGCACGCACTATCTTACACCCGTGAAACTTTATCACGAACTAGCCGGCAAACCGCGCAGTACCGCTGGTCTAAGTAAGCCTCTAGGGGCAATAAACAAGGAACACTCCCATGCTGGGATTGTTCAAGTCAAGGCAGCCAGGACTCAGTCACTTACTTCCCTGATGGGACAGCATTCACTCTGGCCCTGGCCAATTGTTTCTAAACCTTCTTTAAGGTAGATTCAGGATCCGGGGTTACATCATACGAACCAGTACGTAAAATCTGAACAAGGAAATCCGTAGACATATTCTTCGCCAGACAACCAACAGGCATAATACTTGTATCGATCCGTCGGATATTATAACAAACTTTGCGTGGATGTAGGATCTCTATTTCCTCCATCCCATTAGTCCAAATATCCAGTCTTCAACTCCCTAAATCAATACTCAATCGCTTATCTTCTGTCTTGCCCATATTTGGGGCTATAAGATGTCCTTCAAGACTCTTACAATCCGTCATCCATAAATGTCTCATAGACATGGCTGATTTGTCTTCCCAATTGGTTGGCAGCTTCTTCCCGGCACCAAGCGTCCCAGGAGCATATGTGATGGCGGCGCGGATGCGTACACCAGATTCTACACCCCATAAACAAGCCAGAGTCTCTGCTTGCAGTGTAGACTTACATACTCGTTTGATAACTTTACTAGATATACATCTATGGTGAAATGATCACTGTTCCCCTCGATGAACCCAGGCCCTGCGAGTCCATTGAACCTAGCCCCCTGTGATCTGAGGGGCTCGATTCTACCCTTGACTATATCCTCTTCTCCTGCCCAGCTGGCGTGAGTAACGGCGAGAACTGTCATATCTTGATCCCACTTAACAGCTCCACCTTTAAATGCTGACCTGCAGTCTGCGGACTGAATTGCTTCCTCTAATGCACGGTTGGCTTCCTTGCGATGAAGTGCCTTAGCGTGGCGCACTGCTGTCTGCAGTCTGCTCGCGCGATACAACAACTCAGCCTTGCACTGACGTGTGACCCATCACCTACGACCGATCGGAGCTGTGCTGTCTCACCCTCATTGAATTTTCTCGCGAGGGGACTGTCTCTAGGATATGATGCAACTTCGATCTTCTCAGTTTTATCCTTGGCCGACATACTCGCTGTAAGATCTTCATCTTGAACAACTCCTAAACCACAATAGCGGGATTTATCCGACTTGATCTCGCGAGTATCAAACTCCGCTAATACCAAATCGATGATTTTCTGGCTTACATTATCTGCAGCCCATACTATGTCATCTACATGTGTACCTAGCATGCACGTGATCTCATTCTTGTCATTGTGAGTACTGAAAAAAGCGGACGTGATGCGATTCTCCTTTAGACCATGAGCTTCAAACCTTTTGCGAATTTTGTTCCATAGACCTCGTCCTGCGCCACGCGTACCATAGACAAACATGCGCGCGATCAGTGCCCCACCACCCGGTGCTCCTTCGAGTCCGTCTGGCGGTGGCTTGACTAGCATGAGGCGGTCGAGTTCCTGATCTTGGAAATACGCGGATGTGATGTCGGCGCATTTGAAAATATTTTTTGGCGAATCCATGCGGGTGCCCAATGACTCTTCCAAATTTCCGCGCGCAGCAAATCTACTCTTGTACTGCGGTGCAACTGCAGGTCCCCCTGGTCTGCGGATATGTTCACTCTTGTCAATCTCAATCCATTGTATTGGTGCCATGCGATATCCTTCGTCGAGGAGATGTTGCAGTTCTACGGAATCGATAGGTACAGCGGCGTTGAACTTCCGCCATGTTCCCCATTCGTCTTGTGTTGCCAATCGTAAACCACTTTTAACGTCCTCATATTCTCGATGATCTACCAGATTCTTTGCACTCTTTATCTTCTTCTTGGATTGCGGCCTATGAACGGTGCGCTCGTTGAAGAATCCGACAAGCGATTCATGTGGCTTAACAGCGAATGGTGCTTCCCTGCGAGGTAGCAGATCCATGCCCGCCCCCGACGTTCCGGCCCTGCGCATGGCATCAAGAAGCGGGTTCGCCGCCTCGGGAGCTGGCTTCGAGGCAGAATCGGAAACCCTTTCCGTGCTACAATCAGCATTCTCGACTCTTCTGCGCATCACTTCGTTGCGAGTCTGTATACCGTGTGGCGCGCCCTCTAGCAAAGACCTCTGGAGTGGCGTTCGAGTCGCCAGTGATGACCTCGACGCGGGCGTCACAGGAACGACCATTCCTCCAGACAGTTCATCTTCCTCCATTTGGCGAACTGCTTCTTCTATGAACTCGGGGTCCTCTGGGATCCCCAGCAGCTCCTCTGTCGCCATAGGATGTTCTTGTACAGGATGCTCTTGTACCTGTGGTTCTGGCAGCTCCCGTCTTTCTTCCACAAATGACTGTTGTTGTCCGTCTGGAAGCGCATAGATTTCGACTCCACCGTCGTGATGCTTGGAGAGATACTGGTATGCCAGCGCCTCCGCCGCAGTGCACGGTCGAAACATGTCGACAGCCACGCAGACAGGTACACCCTCTGTGATAACCCATGCGTTTTTGCCATCGGATCCACCGATACGAGAACCAATGCTCCACTTAGCAGTGACTTCGCCGTCGGTCGCCCTTTTGCGGAAGCACACTACATCACCTACTTGACATTCCCCGGCTAGTGGTGTTGCTTTTCAGAGAGCGGCCCTCGCCGTTCCACTCCCAACGTCGTGTTCCGCGAATGCTTTCCTGGCGGACGCGCGGATCGCAGCCTGGCGAGAAAACTCATCGGCTCCGTCCTATGCAACATTCGCAACCACTCCCAAGTCGAACGCTTCCTCGTCGTCGAATTGGCCCCCTGGGACACGGGGCATCTTTCCGAGCACCCACTGAGCAGGCACGAATCCGCCGACTCGTGACATCTCATTCTTCGTGGCCTCAACCTCTGATGCAGTAGAGATGGCTTCATGGAGTCCAGCGACATTTTTGTCGTGTGCCACCCTGTTGCAGATGTTCTTCCAAAGTCCACCATGTCTCTCGGTGCGGCCTATCTGCTCGGGAGGCTCGACTCCAGCGTTGCGGAGGTCGACCCCTTGATTCTTAACCCATTGAAGAAACGCTCATCTGTTGTGCAGTCCACTATCTAACGCCATTCGTTTGGGTCTACCTGCCCATGCACACCAGTGTTGTTGGAGCGGAGTGAGGCATGCTCTCGAAGGCGGCGTACCACCTCCCTGTTTGACAAACAT